TTAAGCGTGCTTAAAGCCGAAGCGTGCTTGAGTGCGAAGTAGACATAATCCAGAGATTTTCATGTAGAAAATTTCCCGTGCTATTTCCCTTTGTTTGTAAGTAAGACTATAGCGGTCCCGCAAAAGTGTGCACTGTTATTTTTACCCGCCATGGTAGTTTTTGTTAGCTTGTTTGTTTTTGTTTTGTGATCGAATGGGAAATGAGAACTTAATTTAGACGGCCAGTCACGATATAGCACACTACGCCTACACACTGCATGTGCGTACCACTGCCCGCGGGGTCACATTCATACCACCGCCTTCGTCCCACCTTGCGCGTGATACACAATCAGAATTAATGGATAGCGAGGGTCAGAGGTGAAATCGCAGCCAGCCTCCCTTTATCGTCTCCCCGACTCTCTTTGTAATTTTTTGTCTGTATGAAGCTTTGCCCTAGGCTAGATCGTAGTATGTTCTCGCGCGCGGCTGTGTGCATCTCTCTGCCTTCCTCTCCGCCCGTGTGAGTGTGTCCCCATCACTTGCGTTCTTTGTGTTTCTCTTAACACACTCCACTGCTGCGGTGTTGACTGTGTTCGAAGTTCGAACATAGATGGGTCATCATGAAAGCATTGACTGTCTTGTAAATGAAGCGTGGTTGAAGCCTAAGTTACCGTGCTTAAAGACGTGTAATTTACATAGCAAAAATTCGGTAAGAGCCGTTTGGCGTGCTTGAGTCCGAAACGTGCTTATTGCCGGCGTGCTTAAAGCCGGCACGGACTGTAATGCAATCGAGCGATTGGAAGTAGGGGCAAGCCGTGGCAATAGGCACTTTGGCGTGTCTAGAGACCATTGCTGCGATCTGGACACGATACAACAGCACCAAAAGAGCTAATGACAGGCCTAGGTCAGGTCGACCGAGGGTCACTACTTCGGCCCAGGATCGTTATATCCACCTTGTACGCCACCTTCAAGAACGAACCGCAACAGCAACGTCTACAGCTGTTCAAATCCCTGGACTTGGAAGAATTTCTGACCAGTCAGTCTGCAATCGTCTCAGGGAGGTAGGACTCTTTGCTCGAAGACTAATCCGACGTTACGTGTTGACCGCACACCACTTGGCAGAACGTCTCCAGTGGTGCCATCACAGAGTGACGGGTGACAGGTACAGGGATGAAATCCTGCAGCCTCATGTTGTTCCATACCTGAACGCTAAAGGTGGCATTTTGCAGCAGGACAACGTTTGTCTGCATGTTTCCCAGATATGTTAGGATATCCTGCGTGCTAAAAACATTCCGACTTTACCATGGCCTGACCGTTCACCGGTTTTGTCTCCAATCGAACTCTTATGGGATCGACGGGTGTGACAGAGCTCCTTGTGGCACTCCAGCAGGAGTGGCAAACCCTTCCGCAACATGTAAACTTGATTGCTAATATCCACGAGTTCCCGATCAACGCAAATGATCAACGCAAATGGTGCTCATACCACTGACTTTTCGTGTACCCCATTCCGTTTACAAGCTTGTGCAGGACATTCGATTTGTTTACCATGGGGTAACGTTTTGAACGTGTGTAGTTATCATCTGGCGGAACATTGCCGAATTTTGTTCTTTTTACTATGTTCGCTTTATTTAAAAAAAAAAAATCATTTTAAAAAGTGAATGTGAGGTTTCTTTTTTTAAAAAAGAGTATATTATGATGTTAACGAATAAAACACTTGAACGTTTCGGCCAGGTGTGACATTGGCAGTGAAAGCAGCTGTCCAATGTCTTATAATAATATAGTTCTTGTGGGAAAGTAGACATCATAAACATGTAAGAATCATCTGACTCCTGTTTCTTATAAGATCATTAGAGCTTTTGCAGTTTTTATGACTGTATTTGTGCATCACTTTCTTACTAAAGCTAGAAACACCGAAACCATTAAAAAGAAAAATAGGCTGCAGGTCTACCACCATGAATTATGTCCCCAAAAGAACTTAACTTCTTTCCTCTTAGAGCAAGGCAACTCGAATTTTGTGTTGCAGTTAATTATTTTCAGGTTATTGATAGTTTTCATTTTTTACTTCCTCATGAAATGTTAAAAATCAAAATTAGAATGGCTGCACATCACAGTTGTTATAATAATAATAATATAATAATTATTGTTCAGTTTCATGATAATATCTCTGGGCCACCTTGTCTTTGCCTGATGACTTAGTTTACAGCAACATTTTCAGCTTGCAATCTATTCTTCAAAGGCGAAAAGTTAATTGGAGAAACATTCACTTACATAGAATCTACAATGATGTGAAAACACGTGAATGAAAGAAAAAATATGACATTTTGTGCTTGGAAATAAGATTATGTGTGTATACTTTGCTGTACATTGTGCTATTCAAGAATTAGTAATGGGAAATACTAAATACCAGCCAGCCACACGGCCATTGTCCGACAGTTCGAGCAATAAAGAACCAATCAGATGTACGATCTTTTCGCGCCGCCCGGATCCCGTCAGGCCGTCCGTTTTCCACGCTCTGAATAGGCCGGAAGAAGAGAGTCGCAGTATGTCACCAATGTATGTTGTTTTTTTTACATTTTTAAAATTGATAATCGTCTTCAAATGCTCTTAAAAATCGAACACCACGACATATTGATCTACGGATTGTGACAATCGTTACCCAACTGTATTTAAGGGACATGAGCAATGGGAAAATATTAAATTTGAACAACTGTTGCCCAAGACAAGCCTGGCGCTAGACTTGCGCAGTTCAAGCGAAAATTTGTGTTTTGTAGATCTACTCAATAACAAAGTACACTCAGAAGGTACTTTTATTACCGCTGAATTTGTTTCGGATTAAGTCATTATTCCCATCAGTTATGTTAATCGCCAGAAGTTGCTCTTGGCCACGTCAGAATTGTCAAATTGCCCAACTTTAGCCTGAGTTTATGGTTGTTTTTCAAGTAGCCTACGAAGTTTGAAATCCAGTTTTTTTTAACTTCAGTCCACCAAACAAAAAGCAGGGAGGGGTGTCATAGCTCTTCTCCTGTGGTGTCACGCAGCAATAAGCAATACACATTTTATTGATATATCTTATTGTAAAACTGATGAACTGTTTGCGGCAAATGCAGTTTGCGATTAGAAGATGTTTAAATCTAGATTAGATCTAGATCTAGACAGATTCTTGGTGTGTCTGTGTTAACTGTGTATATCCTTTTATGGCCCTAGGATGATGCCCTTTCCTATTTCGGCTAGCAGTGTAGCCTACACCGGTGATCTTGTAGTTCCGCTCGTTAAAGTCCACGATCATTTTGTTTACATCCAAGGAAGAAATCCAGAATCCAGAAGTCTTGATGACCAAATACTATTTGAAATAGGCTACACAAAGAGCAGGGATACAGCCTAAATGCAAACGATCCCAACTGCAAAACATCAAGTTATGATAAACCCCCCCCACCTCCATATTTTTATTTGCTGAACCCCCCCACCTCCATATTTTTATTTGCTGAACCCCCCCTACTCTTGACTTTAACGAACGAAACTACAAAATTGCCGCCTACACCTACAGAGGCTACGACTCGACTTACAACTTGGACAGAAATGAAGTTTTTAATCAGAGCTGTTACAAACATTGATAGCTTAACTTCAGGTCTAGCATCCTGAGATCTAGAATCTAGACTAGTTCTAGATTTCTAGATCTAAATATTCTGCTTGATCCTAGATTCTAGATCTAAATCTTTACTGCACAAAAGTTTGAGATAATCTGGAAGTCCTCTCTTTAGTCTTAGTACTCTTACTCACTCTTACTCTTGGTGTTAAATTTTTACTGTACTACTTTCACTCCCGCACACAGATGCACTGCTTAGGTAGTCAAGCTGCAGTAGGCTATTGTTTGCTGCAGATCGCACATTTATATAATAAAGCCACTCAAACTGTCGCAAATCAATTATTTTCAAGAAAATTTCAAACCTAGCGGCAAAATATCAAATTACGGCGGGGAGTCTATAGATACAGACCTGGTAACCGGGAACAAAGTCACGAAGTAAACAAACCCGGTAGGGGAAATCTTTTTGTGATTTCGGAATGTTTCAGCTTGCTCTTAGCACACACACACACACACACACACACACACACACACACACACACACACACACACACACACACACACACACACACACACACACACACACACACACACACACACACACACACACACACACACTCTCTCTCACACACACACACACACTTTCTCTCTCTCTCTCTCTCTCTCTCTCTCTCTACCGGGTCTGGGCACTGAAACTTTCAGAATTCTTAAAATAATTTCCTCTACTGGGTCTCTATACGTCATGATTTTGTTCCCGGTTACCGGGTCTGCATACACACTTCGATTACGACATGATGCCCCCTTGTACCCCCCCCCCCCCCCCCCCCAAATTTTTTACTTCAGTTGGGCTGCCCCCCTTGAAACCCCCGATTGGTCCAAAGCGCGCCAATACACGGTTAGGCTTAATGTGATGTAAAAGTAAAGTTGTTCCCGCATCCGATCCGAACATTGGGGATTGCCTTGTTAGTGAGACAACTTCCTGGGCATGCGGCATATTGTGGTAGGGTGGCCAGTTCCTTTCCACACCGCCTTTACTTCCCCAACTCGAAGTCAGGTACCCATTACTGCTGGGTGGGCAGCTTCATTTTGTTGATCATGTGAACACAGCAAGTGTCTCATTTTGTACTAGTACTGTTGATTCAGAATAGATCATATTTTTAATAAAGGTGCCAACTTTCGGGATAAATCTGGAAATCCGGATTCCTGAAGTAGTTGGGTTTGTACCTGACTACAGGCTATTTGTGAAGAAAATAGTTTTGATACAAGGTCAAGATGTATGAGTACTTTTGAATCCCATGCGTGTCCTCGGAGTCGGATAAGTTTAGAATTATTTTTCCTCATAGATGGTTTTGCTCCTCTGTTAATGGTTACACTTGATTGTCTTCGCTTGACATTGTGCAGTATTGCTATAGTTAAATGAAATGTATACTTTTATCTTTTTTTCAGGTTGATACATGGTGCATTGAACTATCTCTGTTTGGGGGAGGAACCTTCAGTCAACATTTAAATATGAACCCCTTTGGAAACAGTATGTCGTCTCCAGCTCTAGCTGGGTGCCACAGACTGCCGCAGATTGCAACTATGGGAAGGAATATTCGCACTGCTCAAAGTAAGGCTAGTGCCAAACAGAACTTAGAGTCAAAGCCAGGAGACGAGTCAGCCGTTCTGCATGTTGAGGGCACTTCCAAAGTTATAAAGATACTCACAGATGGAATAGCTGAGTTCACAGAGGATTTAGTCAGTAGAGACAATGTTCAAAGTGAGGATCCTGCTCCCTTAGAAAACTCTGTAGCTGTAGCTGATGATGAGGGTGAGAAAAAGCCTCGAAAGACAAAACGGCAGAGAAAGAGCGATTTGAGTAAGGTGAATGCTCCTGCTTCCGGGGATTCTTCGGTTTCATTGTCTGAAGCTGGAAGTGTTTCTGCCAATGAACTGATTCCAAAAAGTACTGTGGATACAGTTCTGCCAGAGATGAATGAGAATGTAGGACCCACTTTGCATGGTGTAGAGGCAAATACTGAGATGAATGAAGCACCACAAAAAGTTGAGTGTCCAGTGCTGGATTTGCAGACTGCTATCTCTGGTCAGAGGAATAATGAAAGAAATAGAACACCTAGAGGTCGAGGAAGGAAAAGAGTGCAGAAAAATGAGGAGTCTGCGGTCAACCCTGAGGTGTTTAAAGCTGAGAAAATTGAATCATCAGAAGTTAATCAATTACAAAACATTTCAAAAGCAATTGAAGAAGCCGCAACCCTTGAGAATGAAGACAAAAAAGTGCATGTTGCTCCAGCAGGACATATTCCAAGGTGTGTTCTCATTTTACCATCAGAAGTGCCCGCAGAAGCACAGCTGGAGAAACTGATGTCAATGGCTTCTTCTATAGAATATGATCATATGTATCCGCCCTTGTATGAAGAAGGTGAACTGCTTTGGGCGAAAGTGAGTGGTCATCCATACTGGCCCTGCATGGTGGCACGTTGTCCGTTTTCAAAAATGTATACAAGAATCAAAGGTAAGTTAAGTATTTAATTAGTAAGGTGGCCAGTGGATCAGGATTAAAAATACAAATATGCAGTGAATCCCTTACAACATTAACTCCTCAGGAAAAGAGAATTTCTTTATGTTTTAAGCAGATTTCGTGTAAGTAAGGGGTGTTGCAATGCACAGAATTAAGAGGAGGAAAGAAACGGGGATTTGAAAATCCTTTCATAGTAACGAGAATTTTGTGTAAAACAGCTTTTATTATTTATGTTAAACAGTCTGTGCTGTTATAAATGGCTGATTGATTACAGTTCTTTTAAATTGAATTAGGGTGGTAAAGTTTAATGTGATCTGTTTTTTGTGTTCTTGTGTGTTTCTAGGAGGTTATAGTCCGGCAGGCACATAGCAAAACATGCGTGTAATGAACAGATTTTCAAGTCCTGAATTTTTTCTCATACATGTATTTCTTTGTACATTGTGTATTATTAAAAACATTCATTACACGTCTCAGGAGCAACATTTTTACGTAAGGAAAATATTTTTTCATCCTTCCAATTTTGCTGTGTGCGTGCCAGACTATCTCTTTTGATTTAGTAGGTAAAGTTATAATATTTTAAGTTTTTCATTTTCAGTGAACTTTTTTGCTCACTTTTAAAAAATTGTGTTTTAAAGTTAATTTCTAGTGAAAAGTCAATGTTGTAATTCTGTTGCATGGTTAAGACCATTGTCAAACTTCAATTATGATTATAGTAATGTGTAAGCTGTTGTAGTTATTGTTGTACAGATCACTCTTAATGAATGAGTCCCATTTTTTATTTAACAAAAGTTTTATTGTGTCATTTTGTTTTGTTCCAAAATAATGACTACAACCATACATGGCTGAATGTGTGTCTTTGAGTATCATATTTACATAATTTACAAATTTTTATTTTGATTATTTCAGGAGATATAAGAGTCGTCAGGTCATATCATGTCCAGTTCTTTGGAAATGAAGTAGAAAGAGGCTGGGTAAATGAAGCTTCAATGTTGAAGTTTGAGGGGAAGTTAAAATTTTTAGAACGTGCCCAAGTGGAGACGGCTACTAAACAGCCCAAAAGGGGTAAAAGCAATTACAATCCTTTCAAGATAAACATTACTCGCCGACATGCGTGGAACATAGCTGTAGATGAAGCCGAAAGTGCAATACCTTTGTCTGAAGAAGACAGAATAGTGCAATATTCATTTGATTATGTGTTTGTGGAGGATGAGAAGAAAATGAAACTTAAAGCAAAAGAGGAGTCGGAAGGGGAGGATGCAGGCACTCTGAAGGCAAAACGTGGGCGTAAAAGGAAGAGACAGACTTCAGGTAGTGAAGATACTTCTCCAGAAGCCAAACGGAAAAGGGGAAAGAAAAGTGTAGGAGAGGCTAGCCCATTTCTTGTAACGACAGAGACTTCGTTTGATGCTTATTATGCCAGTCACCGCAGCACAGTCATTGATCAGCATCCGGAGTGGGACACCTCTCTGGTTTTTGAGTACTTGAGACAACAATGGGAAATTGTTTCGGATAAAAAAAAGAATTTGCAAAAGAAATCTAGAGCCTTGAAATCACCACTTGTGGGAAATAAGCATGGCACAACAACTGAGATGTCGTCTCAAGGGAAGCAGTTGATGAGTTCCCCGCTTCAACCAGGTACTGTTTTCTTCTTTTTTATGGCTCTCTTCACCTTCACAGATGGATTATATGTCTAATCCTGTGGGAGTTTTGTGTGTCTGTACTTTGGTTGGATATTGTCTTTGTGCTAGCCTTTATATAAGCACTTACTTCCCAAAAGCGTATTCATGAAAGTAGACTTCAAGGCAGATATAATATAATAAATAAATAAATAATATATGCCTGTCCTTGTGAAGTCGATTGACAAGTTATCAGCAATGAAAGTTGTTTCTTGGGATACATCTTCTTTAACTTCTGTTGAAATGGCAAGTGAAAGAGGAGTTAATAGTTAATTTTGTCAACTCGCATAGATATACTTTTTTGTTATGTAGCCTTTATAAATTTCTGTTGAGGTTTTTTTTTCTCCAGAGTGCTCAGGTGTTCATGACAAAATTACTGTGTGATGTAAAAGTTGAGATTTTAACCACCAAAAGGCTCCCAAAGGCCCAGTAACTATGCATTTTCTGTAAAGTAGATGGACAAATCATAGAAGTAGCTTTGAACTTCAGGATAAAAAAAAATAATTCTGGACTTTCCCAAGCTCTGAAACTACTGAAAACTTCAATATGAAAATATGGAATAGCCAAAAAAAATTATGTTAGAATACATTGCATGCCCTCTCAGGAGGTGTTGGGTCTTTTGTCCATGTTTTTGTTTGTTTGGTGAATTTCTTCTTAAAATTTTAGGTTTCTTTACTTACAATAATAACCAATAACTGAAATTATCAGAAATTATGGAATAACATTGGTCAAACCAAAAATAAAGCTTCAGGAATAGCTTGAAACATCTTTCAATGAAGCATAGGTCTGCCCTTTGCTTCTAGTAGAAGCAAGTAATAATAATGTGGCAGTGAAGTTGTTAAATTTTGCATTAAATGTGCCTCTGTTGAGTGGTCCTGTCTGAGGTGTATGGTTCGCCATCCACCTTTGAAGTTGTCAAGATACAAGCAATTTTTGAAAATGTGAAATCTTCAGTGTTGATATTTAGCAAATTCGTTATTCATATTATTGTATCAATTTATGAATTCACAGATTCATCAAAAAGAGGACGGAAATCTTCAAAACTGCTGAAGCTTTTGACAAGTGATTCTGTGCCAAGTAGTGCAAAGAAAAGCAAAGAATTTGAATCTGATGAGGCCATTAATAAGGTAAACAGCTTGTTTTCTTATTAAATTAATTATTTCATTTCTCAACTTTTTCTTCTGTATATCTTTATGACTGTTTTGGATTTATCTATTGAAAACTTCATGCTCCTTCCAACATTTTTCTTTAAAACCATGTGGCATGTGAATTCTTCCCCCTGACAGTGCTACTGACTGAAGTTGTCTTTAGGCCATTCCCAAAGAGGGGATATTAACATGTTCTTATGCACAGTAGAATTGTCAATGGGCTGATCAATCATTGTTATGCTCATACTGTGCTGGAGCAACATAAGGAGAACTGCTTTTTCTTTCCTCTTCCTTACTATTGTCATTTTTCTTCTGCTTCTTTTGTATGTTTGTCACTCTCTTGTGAACTGCTATTCGCAGGGTGCCTTGATAGTCGAAGGAGACCTTGTGTGGTTGAGGCTAGAGAGGTGAGCAGAGTAAGCTTGATTCCCCGTTTGGACTTCTCTGTTGACCTCCACCCCTTGGTGCTCATATGACCTTATGCAGTTGCGAGCGCCGTAAAACCTAACTAAAATAAACTAAAAAAGAATATGGGAATTGTTTCCTTTCGTTATCCTTTGATACAAGCATGCTGCTGGTCCCATTGTACATCCGCCTCTTTCCTATGTCGTGCTCTTTTCCCTGCATTATGTGAATGCGAGCTTTTCTGCTACTCTATTTCAAAATCCGAACACAGTGGCTCTCAGTAAATTGTAGTCCTTTTATTCCTAGTCCTGCTATTTTCCATTGATATTGATTTCATCCCTTTCTGCTTTTACTTCCCGGCTTTAGGAACTGTCTTTAGCACTTTACACTCATCTTTTTAATATGCTTTTTTTCCCTTTCAGATTGACTCAATCATAGCTGCCGTTGCTGCAAACAGTGAGGCTGAAGTAAGTGTTCATAAGTCTTAGATGAAGATTATAAGACATATTTTAGTTGGTGCCCCTCCATTTACAGTCAAACCTGAGTAAGACGGCCACCCATTGTCAAGGAGAAAAGTGGCCGAATAAGACAGGTGGCCATCTTAGGCAGGACTGATCAGGATGAAGAAAATAAACCATTCCCTTCTGTGGTCCCAACCAAAAGTAGCCACATTGTTGTTGTTGTTGTTGGTTTGTATTTTGTTTGTTTGTTATTTTTATTTTTTTGCTATTTTTTGCGCAAGGGTGACAATGAAATGAAATGTATCGGACGAGGAAAACCGAGTGCCATGTTCAAACAAACACATGGGTCGCCACCACTCGGAGAACGAGCAATGGTTAGACTGGGTAAACAGTGACCTATCATCTCACTTACGATTTGTGTTTGAGTTCTAGGCGGAGTTTATGGGTTATGAGGGATCACATGCTTACCTCACCAGCAGCTGAAAATTTGTTACCTATTGGTCAACTGTGGGAGGGGCCAACGCAACATGTTCGGTTGGAGGGACTACCTAACAACAATGACAGGTGATTGGATATGACGACTCACACAGAACGCCAGGGGCAAATGTATAATGTATGACAAAATGTAATGGAGTCTCTAAGGTGGCCGTCTAAGACAGGCATTATTGTTTGGCGTGATAGGGGTTGTGTGTTAAAATATGGTGGCTGCGACCGAGTTGGACAGGTGGCCGTTTTACACAGTGAAATTGTATAGAAAAAACGCAAGGGGGGGGATGGAAAGTGGCCGTTGTTACAGGCGGCCGTCTTTTAGAGGTGGCAGTCGTGGTAGGTTCGACTATATTTTTGTATTTTTATGTGAAAATTTCTGTTGCATGCATTCCATCTCTTTGTGGTCCTTATGAGGAGGTAAAGCTTTGTTAAATGGCTAAATTTAAAAAAATGAGTTTTTCACTCTATCATGCTTGAGTTGTTTGGTAAAGAATGATTTTTTTTTCTTTCTTGTTTGTTTGTATAAATTAATTTTCAAATGACATATGGGACAATGATTGTTGTAAGGAAATTAAACAACAAATTATTTGACAGCTTTGGGTTGGGTTTGAACTAAGCGTGTATTCATTCAGAACCTATGCTTATAATCGCGTAAAAAACAACCCCTCACCCCCCTTCCCAATGTTTCCGGAAAGGTGCTCATGTCCTTCTTTGCTTTTAATTTGGGAAGTTCAGGAAAAGAGAATAACTTGGTACATCAGAAGGCTATGTACTGTACTGTACATGTATATCTTTTTTTTTTTTTTTTTTTGCATTATAGGCTAATTGATATTTTAAAATTCATAGACTCCAGAACAAAGTGTCGTGCAGCCGCGTAAACGGGGACGAGTGAAGAAAGTGCCTGACAGCAATACATCTGTCTCTGAGCTTTCTCGGTCTAGCACTCCAGCCAGTTTTGCTGAGGAGGGGGTAGAGGAGGACCTATTGAGACCAAAGGTTGCTGCCTCTGCATTGTCTGCTCGGAAAGCTAGCCATGAATCTGATTCCAGCACAGAGGTTAGCTGACAGGGAATTATAAAGAAACTTACTTCTTATTAATTGATGTAGCAGGTTTGTAAAAAAATCTGCAAATTTTATGAGTACACTTTTTTTACCCTCAGGTTAAAATTAGACAGTTTTTAAAACATGTTCAAAGAACATAATATTCTTAGATGCTCATACACTGTTGTAATTGTTTTTTATTTTTATTTTTGCCTGTCGTCTATGTTTTGAGGAATGTAGTTCAAAACTTAGAAAGTATGATAATTGGTATATCACAGCCATGTTCAAGTTTCTCCAGCTATATATATGAAAGTGTCCTAAGCTGTGATTGCTGTAACCTGTTCAGCTCTGTTTTACTCTTATTTTTGTGTTAGTCCTTCCCTTTTGCTAGTTCCTCTACCGTACAGTCACTCTGTCCCTAGTGATATTTTTCTCACTTCACTGGAACAGGACTGTAACAGGCTTTATATATTACTAAAAATGTTATTTGTAATATTTTAAAGTTAAATGAACTATTTTTTAGAAAACGTGAAAGTTTTACTTTTTCTGTTTAATTGTTGCTGTGACTTCACTGACCTTGTACTGGTAATTTGACTATTTACTTTTTAATTTTTGCAGGGAAAAACCAAGGGTTTAAAAGAAAATGAGCAGTATGAACTGGAGATCTTCAAATTGTTAGCCACCAGTAGGATAGAGAAAGATAGCATTTGCGCAGTGTGTGAGAAGAATGAAAACGTGGTGGAATGTAGTGGCAGCTGTTGCCAGCATTTTCACCTGGCTTGTGTTGGGATGGACTTGCAGTCAGATGCCAGCTTTAAATGTCCAGAGTGCACTTCAGGTAATTGCTTTGTTTGGGGCACTGTAGTTCAATTTTTCAGAACCTGCAGTTTACATTTAATTTTGGGAATGAGTATTGTATGAAAAGCTTTGTTTTATCCCCCTCCTTCCTCCTTCTCCTCCACATCACTGCCTCTACAAAAGATGTGTCAGTCTCTGCTATTTAATATTGCTCCTGCATCAGCGATTGTCAGCTTTCTGAAGTGTACTTGGTCATTAAGTCGCTCCCATTTCTTGGAACTATAATTTAAAGCAGTGAATTATATAAAAAAAAATTAAGTTACATATGATATACATCTTCTGTTCGCATATTCTGTGCCTACTGATTTCCAAGTACGTATATAATTAGAGGGTAAACTGAAGAAAAAAGGATAAAGCACCTGTCCTAAGGATGCAATATCTTTCCTGGTGGAGCAGAGAATTGAACTCGCAACTTTTCTTTTTTTTTTTTTACTAATCGAGACGCTTTAAAACTTGGTGTCTTTTGTGTGTAATAAGGTATGATAAAAATATATGTCTCTCAAGATGTGATCTTGTTTATTTGTGATTACTTCATTTGTGATAAACTTGAACACAGAATTGATACTTGTTGCTGTAATGTACCATCTCATGTGAACTCGATCTTCTTTTCCAGGAATACATTCATGTTTTTTGTGCAAGAAAGCAGATATAGACACGAAGAGATGTTGTGTTGCCTTGTGCGGAAAGTATTACCATGAAGGTTGTGTCAAGAAATTGAGATTGACACGACAGGAGTCCAAAGGTTTTGTCTGTCCATTGCATACATGTGCCACCTGTGCTGTTGATAATTTGAGGAATCCTCGAGCATGTAAAGGTTAGTGTCATTAAAAGAATTTAATAAATTTATTTTACAGTCATAAATTTTGACAAATGTTGTTTAAAGGTCTACATTGTCAATGAATATGCGAAAGGGGAGAATAATTTTTACAAGGGAGTAAATAAAAATTTGTTTTCCTTATTTCCTAGGTTTATGAATGTTTGACTTTTATTGGCGAACTTCAGTTCTTGTTTTGTTTATCTTTATAACTTGATTTTTGACTTGTATTATATGAAAGATTTAGAAAATTTCAAATTTGGGAAAGTTGAAACTAATTTTGTGAATAACATTCTCTTCAGGACGTCTGTTCAAATGTGTAAGGTGCCCAACAGCTTATCATGTGGGAGACTTCTGTGTGGCTGCCGGCAGTGTCAACTTAGTGGGCACCAATATCCTCTGCAGCAGTCATTTCCAGCCCAATAAGTCTCTTACATTGCATGCACGGCTCAACATCACCTGGTGCTTTAGCTGCAGTAAAGGTATTTTTGCTTTCCCCCTGTCTGGTTGTGAATAAGTTGCCTTATTGACCGATGAAAAAACTGTTGAAACATATTTCTGTTTTGCACCATTGACCTCTTGTAAGCTTAATAGAAATCATTTTGCATTTCCTTCTTAAAAACAGCAGATAAAAAAAATGTTGCTTGTAATATAGCAAGAACCATGAAACATTTTTTTTTGCTCTAAAGCCAACAAAACAATGTGCATATGATAGCCTTATCTCTGCTGAGTAACACAGTTTTTGAATTTTGACAATTCGTTCATAAATAAAAAAGTTATGATTTTTTAAATGAATTTTTTTGGGGGTGACTCTCATATAAGGAAAAAATCCCAAAACACGGTCCACATTTTTGGGTGTTTTGAGGCATTTTTTTATCATAAATTCCGTAATAAACAAAATACATGAATGAAACTTGGCAGCCTATTGTAGTTTTCCTGCAGAACCTATATCTATAAAGATATTTGATGTATCTGCAGTAGTTTTTAAAATATCAGGGGAAATGTGTAAAAAAATTCATTAAAATTTAAGGCCAAGGACTTGCGGCCAACATTCAAACTCCTGCAACTTTCTTATTTTTTTATATATATCTACGAAACTTGGCTATCTTTTGTATTTTTTCCTGCAGATTCCAAATCTCCTGTTATTTTTTTTGTATGAAAGGCTCTTTTATCACTGAGCAAAAATGTTGAAAAGGTACCCTGGGTATGTTGCTAAAATGGGATATCCATTAACTTTTCTTGCAATATTTATGTGTATAATTGTATAACATAACATACACCAGGTGTGCTCTGTGTACAGGCACCAAAAACAGATAGTGAAAGAAAGCAAACAAACATCTGAAATGGAACAGAAGACAAGAGAAAGTGTACTGACCATGTTGGGTTCATTTGAATTTTTCAAATTTTGCTTGAACCTCCTTAGCATTTGAAATACACCAGATGCCCCCACCCCCACCCCCAGAACGTGGTTGTGGCTCCAGCTCGGTGTCCACAACGCTTTTTCTTTCAGAAGTTTACCCATCTCCGGGCCGGTACAAAATTGGTAGAAAATACTAGTAATCATACATAAAAAAAAGACCCCTCAGTCACCAATTCTTTAGATTTAATCTATATTTTGTTCCTTGCTAACGAGAAAGTCATTCTATGAATTTATGTAAGCTACTATAACCAAAGATACTACACCCTACGATGTACTATCTTTGCTATAACTATGTAGTATTATAATTCTTGTTCCTTAGCACGAAACTGACGAGTCCATGTAGATCTAGGTCGGGGGAATAACAGGATCGAGAGAACCGTCGACATCGATCGATAACGCAAGAATGTGATCTGTCCTCCCCGGTTTTTTTGTATGCAGAAAGTCTTTTTATCATATCCAAAGCAAATAAATTTCATGCAGGCTTAAAGATAAAGCCTAAAAAGTGCTTTTTAGCTTTTGGAAAGCCGAACTGGTGAACATGGTTTCCCCGTCTCTCTCGCGCAGTAGACTTTCCCCGACCTGTTTCTTCATGACGTCATGGAATTTTCCACTCGACGCCGGCTAGCCCGACCTACTCAGCGGAATGCCCGAATGCAGTCGAGTTTGGGTGGTGTTTTGCAATGGTACGCAAAAAGTATGCAATATACATTAATAAAATTTGAAGACAATAAAGGAAAAAGGTTGTCAACCAAGGTTGTGAAAAAGAAATCCAAAATTCCACCAAATCTGGTGTAGCCGAGTGCTCAAACTTCGGACATGAACAGCACCATAACCAAGTAACCTACGAGTTTTCTTTTTCGCATGTGACTAGTTGGACCTCTTTTCTCATTGGCTGCCAAGTTTCGCTTTCATCCATTGAGAAACAAGCCCGTACGAGTGAATGAAAATATGGCACCGTGAGAAAACGGGTCAGGTAAAACAAGCCCGCAGCGCCTATACGGGAGTCCCCGATTTCTGTCACACTCATCGGCGCTGCGTGGGCCTTGCTACAACAAAGTTATAAATGATGTTATTTTATTTTGCATGTTTATATTTATAAACAACTTGATAGAAAAGATCTCTTCAAGATGAAATGTGATCTTCTGTGTTAAGTTTTCATACTTTTGTTCCTGAACTAGTCACAGTGGCATTTTCTTGTGGACCAAAATATTTGATTAAAATTATATTTACTTAGATATATTTACAAAGGCAGTTTGACTTGATAAAATCATGAATGTGGGTGGTTTTTTAGTGCTGTGGTGTGGTTTGCTCCTTCTTTCATATCAAACATCTATCTTCCTTATCTCTCCTCCTCCTTTTTTGCATTTGTTGCTCTCTTCTAACACCTCTAATCTTTGGCACTAATATGATCTTATTGTGTTGCAAGTGCCTTAAGACTTTTACTAAAACTAAAGTAGAATCATGAATGAAGGCCCGTTGAATTTGGTCGTCAAGGTTCATTATCATCATAATCCTGCATCTTATGTGGTAGACCCAAGTACCATCATGTCTTAATCACACACCTCATTTCTATGTTGTTGTCCAGATTATTTAGTGTTTTATATTTGCCGTCCATGTGAGAAAAATACATCTATTAAATCAGGTATTTTAGGAGCTCCAGCCTTTTCTTTCATTGAAGTAACTGCATTGTACCCATTGAATTTATATATATATTGTTCTGTCTTTGCAGGGGGCACACTGCTGTGTTGTGAGGGCTGTCCTGCAGCGTTCCATGCTGAGTGTGTCAAAGTGGAGAAAACGCCGGAGGAAGCTTGGTACTGCATAGACTGTGCTGCAGGGAGGAAACCTCTGTATGGGAATATTGTCTGGATTAAAGTCGGAAACTACAGGTTTGCTTGTGATCCCATTCATCATGTACTTTATGAAGTATTTCTTTTTTTTTTTTTTAACTTATTTAATTTTTTTCTCCTCTTAATCACTTTGTGATTTATTATGGCTCTCGGGCGCGGTTTGTCCACAGAGCATGGTCGTGCAGTGCCGCCCAAAAATTGTTAATGTTCCATTACGTAAAACACCCACAATAATAAAATAAAAGAAGCCAGAAACAAACACCAGCCAAATTGATCAAAACAAGGTCCTCACTGGCGCCATAACTGTCATTTCTGTCTATAACGCCGTAAAACATCTACTATGCCATGCCAAAGTCCATGAGCTTTAGCTAAACATAATTAGATATTCAACAGCATAACCTGATTTATAAATCGCTCTTGGGGATAACCCAAGCGATGACGACACTCATAGCGAGTTTGGCGGTACATTAATATTAATAAGACGGCCCATCTCAAATGTGCTCCTGCCGAATAGTGCCAAATCATAGCCAGCAGTAGGCAGTCTAAAAATAAACACGATAGACCGTACGCTATTCTTTGCCAATATTATGTGAGCCCCGGAGCTCAAGTGAATTATGATTGGTTCATTGTCTGTCTTGCCACTATTTTAAGTGACTCTGTGACCGTTAACCTGAGGGAGGTTAACGTGACTGTTCTACGAGTTGTGCCTTTGAATGATTTTGTAGTGGAGTGGTGAAAGTTATTACTTGAGTGTTCAGTTTCAATACAGGATGAACGAAATTGATGCTTAGCTTACAAACAAATTTAGTACTAGAAATCAAAGCGGCAATTATAAGAATGAAAATATAAACACGAGGTCCTCCCTCACCAACCCAAAGATCCTAAAATTATACACCGTCTCTTTTACTACTATGCCCGTGACTATCTTCAGCATGCGATAGCTTAATTGTGCATGTCCACTTTTTAGCCCCACGAGCCGCCCCAGCTCTACAGTTTCTTTGAATTGTATCAAAATCTGTGGGTGATTTTTGACCTGCTCCTACACACCCCCACCCCCCATGTTGTTACTGTTATCGTAATTTGCTCCTGGCAAGGTCTGGTTGTTGTTGTGCAGACTGATGGTTAACAACAATTTAAAGACAAAGTTTGACAATATGCTTTACTTATAGACTTCACCTAACAGCTTTTGAAAATTCCCTATTAGTTTGTCAAATTAAGATTAGTTCTTAGGCAATTTCTACAAACTATAGGATGCTTTTTATGATTAGATCATTATGACTTTTGTTTTGGAATGCAATTTTTAATGAGAATTAAAAAACCCAGTGGGTGGTTGGCGGGTGCTCTGGTGTGGTTTGCTTCTTCTTTCCTATCAAACATCTATCATCCTTATCTCCCCTTCTTTTTTATGTTCGTTACTCTCTTGTAACACCTCTAATCTTCTGGCGCTCAATGACCTTATGCAGTTGCGAGCGCCGTAAAACCTCTACTAAAACTAAACTAAAACTAAAAAACCCACCTTGTTTCCTGTTTGAAATAGGTGGTGGCCTGGTGAAATTTGCCACCCAAGAAACGTTCCTCGTAACATTCAGGAGAGACCTCATCAAGTTGGGGAGTTTCCAGTGCGCTTTTTTGGATCACATGATTACTACTGGATTCATCGGGGAAGGTAAGATCATTCATTGCCTCTCAGTTCACCTGGGAAAGTGAGTGCTTGGATACATTTTATACAACACATGCTGGTAAATTGTTCAAATTGTTTACCATTCCAGACATTTTGTTGCTTGTGTGAATGTTGACTCTTTCTTCATGAAGGGTCAGTATCCTAATTGTGGCCTCAGCAGGCAATATTCCTGTTTTCACCCAGCAGGCTTTGCATTTATAGGTTTACAAAGTTGGAAAGTGGTTGTCATGGCTCATTGCTTTATGTGTGGTCTTGGAAGTTCAAATATTCCCCAGCAGCAAAGCTCCACTGCGTAAGAATTCCTTTGTATAGGTAGGATGCATGCTGGAGAGGTGTAGGTGTACAAATTTATATGGATACTTTTCTTAAAACCAATTTTTTTTTATGTAGCATAATTTCTTAAAGTATTATTACAAAGGTCAAGATTGACCACTCAGGAGCAGTGTCAGTGAAGAACCAGCAAACGGGTAATGACATACTCAGCTCCGTTCTTGGCTTCAGCGTATCTACTCAGTATGACTGCTGCTGTCCATGTGGGTTTGTCAGGATCTAGGCTCTACCACGTCAAGGGATCAAATTTAAGTCCTTCAGAAACTTTTTTTAGGTGTCTTTGTACCGCTTTCCTTGTCAGCCAACTTTATGCTTCCCTGAGGACAGCCCAGAATTGAATACTGCCTTGGGATTCTGAAATCAGGCATTCTCAGTCTGCCCAGCGAAGTTGAGTCCTTGTGAGCTTAGAAAGCAGACTCTTGGCATTTGCCCTTTTGAGAACTTTAGTGTTTGTTACTTTGGCGTGAATTTTTCATACGAAGTCTCCACAGAATGACGACGATGGATGATTATTATGCTTGCTAGTTCAGGACTCTAATGTGACTTCGTTCAAATCTATTTCGTGATGCCACAGTAAGATATATGTTAATATTGAACAGTTTGCATTGTTGTTACGATGTTACTTTCATATTGCCATCTTTTAGTTGTTTAAAAGTTACCAATGCTTTGTCCTCCCAAGGGTCTTTAACTTCCAAGAAGGAGACAAAGGAAGCAAGGAGAGCTCGTCCCGGGGACTGTTTAAGGTTTACATGAGAGGTGTGAAGGAAGCCACAGAGGCTTTCAAGCTGTGGACTGCTGCCAAGGCCAAGAAGGTGGAGCAGGAGCAAGAGCGCAGTGATAAAAAACCTGGCCCATACAAGATTGTCAAGGTTGGTTTTGGTAGTCTCTGCCAGGTGCAATTGTTGACCTGACTTTTATTTTTACTTTTTCCATCCCTTTTTTTCTCTGTTGTGTAATGTGAAATTGGCAGCTGTAGTAAGAGATTACTGATCAAAATAGAGCAATTCTGTTTGTCGACTAACCAGGGTTGCAGTTATGTGTTTAGGTAGGGTATTCAGACAGAAACATAATCTGAATGAAGGAAAAGGTTTTATGGAACAATGAGGACACCCCCCCCACACACACACACACATTATTTATGCTACTACTGCAGACCTGCCACTCATCCCGATTTAATCGGGATATCGCAATTTTGTGCCCCAAATCTCAAGCTTCCCGATTTTCCCGATTTCGATCGCCAGTATCCTGATTTTTCGTGGTTGCGTCCGATTCTTAGAAAAAAATATAAAAAGTTCTGCAATCAATCTCTTTTGCTTGGAAACACCGATTGGACTTTTTATCTGCAGGAACTTGGAACGCTGTTTTCTAAAGCATCCATGCAGAATCAAGGTCTAGTAGATGACTAACGCACGTTATTTAAACTAAAATCGACCTAGTTTCAAACGCTCATTCGCATCACATGACATGACTTCGTACGTGTGGTGAGTAGCACGTGTGTCGGGGACCGTCGGTTGTCGGGGTCAACAAAGTTCATTCACACCGGTCGCGTTGGTTGAGGTGTTTTTCGGGACTTAACCAGTGTGGACGGCCGGGGGTGGGGGTATTGTTTTGACACTTGGGCTTAAAATGCGTGCCGTGATACAGGTATTAATTAAGGGGAAAGGAATAAGAAAAAAAATGAACAACCTTGGCGCGATCTTTTTTTTGATGTGATGGAAGTCAAATGTTGTTAAAACGCGGGCGTTTTGCGTGGATGATTAGAGTTACGTGTCAGCTATTTTCAAGACTACGAGTGTTTCAGCATTACTGCGACCTTCGCTCCCCCAGTCTATCCAACTTCGACTCGAGTACATATATGCTGTCAAAAGTTTTGCCTTGCATACTTGCCTCTTAAAAGGGAACCAGGACCCCCCCCCCCCCCCCACGCCTTCCCCAGTGCCCTTTATGACTGATTTTCCGTTGATCCCGATTCTTTTCACCGGATCCCGATTTTTTAACTCAGAAATCCTGATTTTTAGATTTCATAGAGTGGCAGGTCTGCTACTGTCTCAAAACCAGTGCCCCTTTTTTCCTTCTCTTTTGTGGTTTTGTAGTATTATTTTGTAAGAAACCTGCCTGGGTTTGAATTTTGCAGTGCTTTCAGCATGTAAACCAAAATCTGTCCTCTTCGGCAGAACTTGTGAAATATCTAACTCTATTTTCTTAAAGTGTATGTAAATGGGTGTGTCTTTTCATTTTTAAATTTTTTTTGTGGGAAAATAAAATTGTTTTAAAAACGTCATTTATAATGATACCCATGACAAACAAAATGACTTAGTTTCAATCAAATTTTAATTTTCTAAAGAATGCCATGTATGTTTAGCAACAATTCTTACAGAATCTAGAGTGTTTTGACGGATAGTTGGAACAAGTACTTAATTGCATGATCATGCCACTTATTTATGGCACATCATTATAACTATGTCTCTTTTGTCTCTTTCAGAGCAATGTTCCTATTGGAAATGTCCAGATCTACAAGGCAGAACTGTCGGAAATCCCAAGATGTGAGTGCAAACCCGACCAGGAAGATGCCTGCTCCTCTGACTGCCTCAACAGGATGATGATGTATGAATGTCATCCTTCTGTATGCCCCGCAGGGGACAAATGCTGTAACCAACGCTTTCAGAAACGCCAGTATCCTGATTGCGAACCGTTCAAATGTGAGGGAAGGGGTTGGGGTCTTCGTAGCTCCACTGATCTCAAGAAGGCAAGTAGTGTGTTTTATTTGTTCTGTGCCAGTTTCTTGTCTTGCCAACAAGGAGAACTGCTTTTGAAACTCCTGGAAACTCATTATGGTAGTGGTGCATAGAAAAAAAGATGTAAAGAGTTATGTAACGTTTTATTTCAAGTTTGAGCATTTTTATATATGAGGTTTGCTGACAAAATGAGTTACTTCTCGGATTTTAGCCTTATGGAAAGTGATACATCAACTTCACTGGTGGAGTTTGTACAATTTTTAAGTGTGGAATAATAAAAGACATGGTAGACTTGAAGAAAATGACATCAATTGAAAATCTAAAAATCTTACCCCAATGCCCAGTGTTGATTTTTGGCTGATAGCTCCATTCTTGGATTGCGAGAACATTTTGTCGACATGCCTCACGTAGAAAGTGTGTGCCTCTTGATTTGCTTCCTGAAGAGTGGGGTTATTTGCTCTTATATGTTCAAGATTTTATAGTCTTTTGGGTAGCAAGTTTAGATGCTGTCCTGAGTCTTGTTGTGCTCTTGATTTTTAGGGTGTTGTGATCACAATACTACATCTGGCGTGTTACTGTATGTCTTGGTTTTGTTAATTTGAGTTCTTGTCTAAGTGTGTTGACTTGTGACATGTTTTGAAACTGGAATTTATAACGACAGTTTGCATTGTACAATGCCTGTGTATGTGCTCATCTTGAAACTCGTAAAACGCCACTCTGTGCTTCCTGTTGTTTATCTTATTGGAGAAATTTACCTTTTCAATGTATTTCTTACCTTTATATTCTTTTGTTGTTTCATGTGACAGGGTCAATTTGTCTGCGAGTATGTTGGGGATTTGATAGACGAAGAGGAGTGCAAGAAAAGAATTGAACATGCCCATGAGGATAACATTACTAACTTCTACATGCTTACCATGGACAAAAACAGGTATGTTTAATATCTTATGCCTACAAATCGTCTTTGTTTTGAACTTCATAATGGAATATGAGCAGGATTTACAGACTTAATGAATAATGATATATTTGCAAGTTCTTTTTAAAAATCTAATAAGGTGGGAGTCTTGTTTACTTAGCTCTTTTATTTAAAAGGAAGGTCCCATTTCATACATAGCTTTATTGTTCTGGTTGAAGGGTGCTGTCTAATATGTTGCAAAACACATATCGACTACGTACCATGTCATTGATTAATATTTCCAAAGCTCAGTGTTTTGATTACTGTAGATGAACTTGAAATATTTACTCAGTTACAGGGTAATGTTAATATTGTTAGTAAATATTTTTTGCTTGGTTTCAGGTCAACAGTAAATCTTTCAGCTTTTATAAATTTTTATACTTGTAGTTTCAGTTCGCCTCAGTCAAACTTGGCATGGAAGTGCAAAGCAAGTTGTTTGCATGTTGACATAAGTTGAACAAGTGTACATTAGAGTTGGATAGCGAGCGCGAGAACGGAACTGAATTGCCACTCTTCCGCGGATCGCCCTCCGATTCCCGATTCACTCTCCAGTCGCTGTCACCACCTTGTGGCTTGTTTATAACCTACTGCTGGGTTGCGAGTCGAGTCACGAGTGCAAGAACGGAACGGAACACTTAGTATCGCTCCCCTTATTTTACAAAAGATGGTATAGTTCAACCCCCCTATTAACTCACTTCAGACGGTTCACACAACAGTTGCGTGACCCCCGCCGCAACGCTCGCGACGGCTCCCACAAGCCCTGCGTGACCAACTTTGGAAATTTTTTTTCGCTCTACAAATCATGCACGGATCGCGGGACCCGCCTCGTACCCTTGTTTGGCCAAGCCTGAGCTACTTAGACTTCGTTTCGTATCTCTGGGACCCGTAGTTTTTAAGTTATTGAAGGTGAAGGACAGTGACCCCAACTGGGGTTGAACTGACCGGAACTCTGGCTTTGTTTTTTTCTATACAGCTGATAGTATTCCGACAGTCGCGTCGTAGTAACGGTCGAAGAAGTCGCATGAACAAGAATCACATAATTTCGCCGTTTTCGATACTTCTGTACGTTTTACTAGTTCTAGTGTCTCAGAATATGATGTGTCTGATAGTTAGGATCCTGGATATATACCCGAACATGGCCCGAGTCATAGTTTTAGGGCTAGATCTAGCACTAGTACTGGTGTTGTTCGCGCAATGAAATCACAACATCGTGCCGTACATCTGTCTCATGTAATTCAGTGCATGGGTCTGAATCAACGCACAGACCAGCTTTTATACTTTCACCAAACACTCACACATGCATACAAATCAAAATCCAACACTTTGAACTTTTATTTTTGTTGTTGTGAATTTCATTCTACCTGTCATGTCTCTGGAAATTTTTTGGAAAATCAAATTCATGCCAATTTAAAAAAAAATCATATAAAGTATTAGACTTAGACAACTTTAGTTTTTTGTGTTAGATTAAGCTTGAATGTTACCTTACTGTGTCAAAAAATAATTACAATAGGATAATTCTGAGAGTTGTGATGATTTATTGAAATACTCCGAAAAACGCCAGTCTTCAACGCTTGTGACTGGTGAAAGGGCCCAGTAGTAAGTGAGTTAAAACAAAATGAACGGGTTCCAACCAATACACAGAAGGAATTTTATGGAGCCATTGTTTTAGTTTTGCGAATCATGGGGGGGGGGGGGGGGTGAATTTATTTCGGTCGCTAATTGAGGTCAGTATAGCAGCGCAATGAAGGGCGGGGGGCGGAGAGGATGGCGGGACAACAAGAGTGGGACTCGCAAAGTGGCGTTGATATGACACGTTCCGCTTCTCGCATACAACGAGCCCGAGACTTAATGTTCCATGAGCGCTCGTGTGCTCGCGATTTATTGAAGCCGACTGAATCGTGAATCGCCACTCAGATTTGGCGAGCAGGATCCAACTTTAGTCTACATTGGCAATGTGCTACTATAATTGCTGGTTATTTGTTTAGGGTAACTTGACAAATCTTCCTGATTTGTTTTTACCTGACTCATGCCATAAGTATTTCTCTTTTTTTAAATTGTGAAATTTTCAGGCATATTTACATTTTCACTCTTCTGATGTATGATGGTGGCCCGCTGTATAAAGAATGCTATGGTCAGTTTGATTTTTGCCTTAGTCTGAATTCCGTTTTAGTTACTACCATGTGTAGGTTCCAGTGAAAAAAATGTTTTTTTTCCCCTTCAGGATCATAGATGCTGGACCCAAAGGGAACTTCTCTCGCTTCATGAACCACAGTTGCTGCCCAAATCTAGAGACGCAAAAGTGGATGGTGAATGGGGACATTCGAGTTGGCCTATTTACCCTCCGTGAGATACCGAAGGGTAAGCGTTTGTTTCATGGTGTACTCTCAGTACAAAGACTGGTTCTGAAAGTCACTAAGAGTTGTTTTTATGTAGATTGAAACAAACTTTGATGTTAGAATAGTATGTAGTGGAGAAATACCCATACCTGCCAACCCTACAGAAAAAATGGGTATACTACCGACTTTTTGGTCAAACTGCCGATCCACCGATTTTGAGAGATAAGCCACAGACAAACGCCCCACATGTCTTCTTTATTGCTGTAAAATTTCAGCTCTTTGTGTGCAGTAGGCCTACACTTTACGTACCAATTTAAAATTACCACCTATCCGTTGATAAAACACTAGAGCTAGAAACTAGATCACGACCCAACACGTGAGTTACCGGCATGCAAGAGGCGCGGGATCACAAGGCGGCATGTGATTGACTGCCTAAAACCAGAGGGTTTTACAGTAATACAATGTTAAAACTGCTAAAACTAAACAGGTTACCTATGACGTCTAAACGGGTTTTCCTGATACTGCTTTGCTAAGGTGTAGAGGGGTGATCGGCCACAGTTCAAGCAATGTCGCGCAATTCAACATATTTTCATGCAAATTTGATATTAGTCTTAAAGATCCAAAGATATAAACTTCGAAAAAATGATAGCAGAACTAGATTCTGCACTAAAAATCACCTGAAGTTGCCAAGTTTCATTCATGTACTTCAACTCATTACGGACGTATGAACAGTTTTTCCTCAAAATACATCAAGAAACGCCCCACTTTTTGGCAATATTTTCCTATATGAAAGTCCCCCAAAATTTTGAAACAAAAAATCCCAATAATTTTTAAATTTATGAATGGATTTTAAAAATTTAAAAACCATAGTTCTTAGAATTTACTCTTCTTTCATTTAAGGTGGATAAAAATTTAATTTTTCTTTGTCATTGCTAATTTTTGTTTTTTGTTCTTTGTCATTTTCTACATTTGTTTGAAGTTGCAAACACACTCATGTATATATGGGTCCAAATATTGATAAGGGGCCCCCAATTAAGTATGCGGCAAGTGGTAATATAGCCTACTACAGATTTTTTAGGTCAACTACAGAATTTTGGACGAAAATTTGTGTTGTCTACAGATTTTGGCCCAGGCAATGTTGGCAGGTATGAATACCCTATGCCTGATTCTTGATTGTTCTTTAAAATAATATCATACCAGTGGTCTATGTTGTAGAAATCACATTTGTGTATTATTTTCAGGAGAGGAGCTGACGTTCAACTACAACCTGGAATGTCTGGGCAATGAGAAGAAAGCTTGTGCTTGCGGAGCGGAGAACTGTAGTGGCTTCCTTGGAGTTCGACCCAAGGTAAAGTAAAGTAGTCGCTAATTTCCCTCTGTTCTTTAATGCTTGCTTTCTTTTGATGCTTGTGGAATAAGAATTTAGAACTGTTCTCTTTTACATGGACCATTATATTTTCAGTGCGTTTCAATCAGATTGCATGACTTAACACATTACACTCTAGAGTCTGGACGGGAAGTCTATTCCTCAAATCCTAAGCAAGGGGAAGGAACCCACCTCTCGTGAATACAAACATTTAGAAACGCACATTAAAAAAATACTAAACAAATTCCAAAAATCTTTAAAAAAAATAACAATTGGAAAGAGAAATGAATATAATATAGTTTTTAAAAAACTACATACACTCATTTTTGGAAATGTTCTAACTTTAGCGCAGTCTTGCTACAACGTTTTTATCAATATTTTATTAATCTGATTTGTCATTTGCATGTTTTTGCTCTAATTCATCGTTATTTCCTTTTCAAAATGACTTGCTCTTCAACAAGTCGAGACACTTTCCAAGTGTCGGAAATGCGATCACACTTCGATCGGCTCTAAAACTGAAACTACTGGCCAGAAAAATTTCGATTTGGTATCAAACGGAAGAAGAAACATATTGCAATAACTATTTAAAAAACGAAATCTCGGCCCCTGAGTCTCGTTAAACCGAGGCTTCGTTTCTAAAGATGCCTGGTTGGAGCAGTCGATTCCGGGCGAGTTAGGGTGGAGCACGTAAGGAAATTCTCAGGCGACCCCTGGCGAGTTACGGTGTAATGTGTTAATTACATTATACCATTGTCTGCTAGTGGTGACTTAATGACTTATTTTCTACTAAAACTTGGGGGTTTTGGCTCTTTGAAGCACTGTTGCAATGCTTGACTGTATACATTTCTAAAGCACATTTGATGATGTTGAATTTTTCGTCATCACGATGGCTCTAGTCATTTGATGAAGTATACTTTCTGAAAATGTGCATACATTACATTTCTTGTCTGATGTTTGCTTGGCGTTTGATAATACTGAACGAGTTTTCTTATTTAAAAACAGGGTTCCCTCGGCCTCCTTGAATTAAAGGAGTCCTTGAAAACTGCTTGAATTTGCATTCAAGGAAAAATCTCCTTGAAAACTCCTTGAATTTGCCTCCAAGGAAAAAATCTCCTGGAAAACTCCTTGAATTTTGCCGGATCGGACAGGAACACGTGTACAGGGTGACTGCCAGGCCCCCGGGGCCCCCTGGAATTACCCAGGAATTTGAAAAAAATCGCCGAGATCCGGAATGCAACGGGAATTTGAAGAAATCTAAATTGCCGCGTGAAAGACCCGCGGAAATACATAAAAGGTCTCGAATATTTGAAAACCAAATCCGATAACGTCCTTGAGTTCATTTTTGCCGGTCGCGATTGTGATATAATATTTATTCGGCCTTTCCCGGCCTGAGAGTACGTTACACGCGCACATGCGGTATTGGTGGCAACAAGTGGAAGTATGTGCGATACCGGAGCTCGATCGGAAAAATAAAGATCTACTTGCGCTTCGTTAGGCCTACCACCCAGAAATTTGCCGGTAGGACCTATAGTAGTCTGATAACGCCACATTTGTAACATGCAGGCTCTGCATTACAAACGCTGTGTCGCCATGAAAATAAATCGTTTGTCCTGTGCTGTCACTTGTGTGAAAAAAACAAAAGAAAAAGAAAGTTATACAAGCTTCTTGTCGGGCTTGCCATCGTGACCGGTCATTGAACCTGTGCGTTTTCGTCACATCGTGGGTATCGGCGGTGGTTGAGGTCACCAAAGTTCATGCAAAGTTTGAGCGCTGCGAAGTATAGGACTCGGGAATGGGAGGATTATTGATTTTTTAAAAAGTCATGCGGGGGGTGGGGGGGGGGGGGGAAGGCAACGCCGGATGACAACAATACTGAACTTGGAAGTTGGTAGATCTCTTAGATCTCTCTCTGCAAAGGGCGCGTTGGTGCACAGTCCTTGTGTGGAATCGGGATCCATCATACTCAAACCGTCTAAGCCGTGTTCTTTTTACTAAAGGGTTCCTGTTTCATTGCGTAGGTGATAGTAAATTATATGTATTGTATATTTTAGTTTTCTGTTCAAGATTCGCAGATTTTCAGTGTCACTGCATCTTGCCCTCCGACAGTTCTTACACCTCTCGCTCTGAATAAGTCTACTTGAGCCATTCATGTTATTACTCTACTTTGAGCTAGAGTAATACTTTTTGTCTTTCATGTTTATTATATAAACCTTGACACCTCAATTGAGAAGCCGGGTTGGCAGTCACCTTGGGAACAGTTTTTCTAGGAAAATCGAAACTATGAATATGATATGATTCCTTTCGGACAAGTGTTATTTTTTTAAAATAGGCTTTCGTCATGAATTTCTTGACCAAATCTCCTTGAATTTTAAAAATTTCTCCTTGAAACCTTGAAAACTCCTTGAATTTGATGGGAAGTTCATGGCAGGAACCCTGTAAAAAAACATGTCCCCCTTAGATTCTAATTGTTTTGTTTACTAAGACAACTGAGCATTGCTTCTGTGGCATAGTATACAGTATGTTAAGAATGTAATTTACCAGAAGTTTCAAATCTCAGTGGGTTCCAACTTATTTTTCTCATCTCTTTGCTGGAATATCTTATCTCTGTTCAGTGGTCCTGGGGGAGATGTCTTATACTGTGACTAGTACGATATTAAACTTCCAACAACCAAGCAACATGTTTTTGCAACACCCTGACTAATTTTTTTTAGTGTTTGGTGTTGCATTGGTAAAGAATAAGTATGTAGTAAATAGTACCTGAAATACTGACTCTCTTCAGACTGCTGCAGCTGCTGCAAATGAGAAACGTGCCAAAGAGGCAAAGAAAAGAAAACGGAAGAAGAAGTTGGACCCTCGCAAAGAGCACGAAGACGACTGCTTTCGCTGTGGAGAGGGTGGTGAACTGGTGATGTGTGACAAAGGAAATTGTCCAAAAGTTTATCATCTTCAGTGCCTGAAGCTGACAAAGCCCCCTTCAGGTTGGTGCAGCTGAAAATAAATAGTCGAAATTGTCCACGTATTATTGAGGAGAAAAATGGTTGTCTTAGTCAGGTGGATGTCTTAGGCAGTGTCATTATTATACACAAGGAGGGGAGGGGGGGGGGGGGGGGGGGGGGGGGGGGGGGAGTGGGAAGTGGCCGTTTGGACAGGTGGCTGTAAGATAGAGCAGGTTCGACATATTTTTCTGTTCTATTCCCTTTTGCTTACTGTAGCGTAGTATTTATCTGCCAGGTGCCCCCCCCCAAAAAAGGGCTTACCTATTTGTAACTCTTTTAGGTCTTCAAGATCTGATTTCAAACAAAATAAATTTGCTCGTTTAAAAATAAAATTCTCATCTGTAAACTTCTTGTGCATATCTTTTATTGGCATTGCTTAGCTGGATGTTTTCTTAGATTTGTTTTATAACATTCATTGTCGTTTTCAACAAGGTATGTCCCAGTGAAGTGAATGAGAGAGAGAGAGAGAGATTTACATATGAACAAAATCGCAATGTAGAATTAATCTATTTTTAGCACAGGATCGGTACAAGTTTTTGAAAGTGAAGAACATAAAAAAACGTTTTTTCTTTAATAACCCTGGCACATTCTGATATTGTACCTCTGGCATTGTAGTGTAATTTTTCAACAAAAACTGCCACAGGCACATTTTATGATGTTTAATTTTTCGTCATCACAATGGCTTTGTCAAGTGGTGAAACTTTCTATCTGAAAATGTGTCTGTTGTGAATTTCATATTTTGTTGGAGAAGAAAGTGATTGATGTAGTTTAGGAAAATGAAACTTTAAGGTGATTTGTTTGTATGTGGTGCAGTTGCAGCATTAAGAGACAGTTATCTACTCAAACGTGGCTATTTCCCTCTTTTTTTTTTTTTTTTTTGCCTTTGGTTAGAGGGCACCACAGGTGGGTGCTTCTTCTTTTCTATCAAACATCTATCGTCCTTATCTCCCCTTCTTTTTTTAAATGTTTGTTACTCTCTTGTAACACTTCTAGTCTTGTGGCGCTCATATGACCTTATGTAGTTGTGAGCGCCGTAAAACCTCTACTAAAACTAAAACTTTTCCTGGATTATGTTTTTATTGCTTTCTCCCGGTGCTAGATGAGTTATTGTAATTGTAGTTATTTACTTCCTTTCTCTAGCTTAGGGCAACAAATGTTGTAATAAAAAAAACCCACAATTTGTTCTTTGTGTTCCCCTAGGGAAGTGGCTTTGTCCATGGCATCACTGTGATGACTGTGGCAAACTGTCTACCAGCAGATGCTCTGAGTGTCCCAATTCTTACTGTGCTGTCCATACACAAGGCAATATCTTCATGATAGAAGGAACAGCTATTTGCAGTGATCACACAGACCTCTTGGAAGGCGTTACTCAGTCGCTGAATGAGTGCTCCATGAATGGAATTCCCAGTGGTGATAGTGCTGTAGATTCAGAGTCAGACATCAGTGTGAAGGCTGACAACGGCAAGATGTCTTCAAACACATCAGAAACAGGATTGCCTAATGTGTCTGATAATGGCATTATATCTTCTAACTCAGAGCCTCCCCTTGCACAGACAGATTGCCCTAAAATGGATGAAGGAACACCGGTGACAGTCGATGGAGGGGTGACAAGGTCTCAGCCTTCATCGTCTGAACCTGTTTGTCATGAAAATGTTTCTCTTAGTGATATTAACGAATTGGTTGATTCCAAGAAAAACTTGCTGAGTTCAGACTTGTCAGGTCACAAGGCTTTCACCAGTACAGACTCCAGTGTAAGTCCTGACCATGTGAAGAGTGTTTCTCGTGGGAGAGGTCGACTGTCAAAATCAAAGCGTGCTCAAGTCCTCATTCAAGAAAACAATAAAGACAGAGGAAAGCAGGGAGCCAAAAATACTGTTGGCAGTGGTGCATTCGATGAGAGTGACAATGACAGCATCTCAGACTTGGTCATTGATATTCCGACTGCTTGATGGATATCATTATATGCATAGTGCTGTTTGTTTCAGTGTTGAAGAAACTTAATTCATCACTGTATGAGGTTGCCTTTCAATCCCAAATTTATGTATGTGTAAAGAAATCATGGAACAGATAATTATAGTCCCAAAAGATATGTACCGTGTGGGGAATGTGTATGTGAAGTTGTGTGAAGATCAGGATAAATGTGTATTTTTAATTAACTGGTCTTCTTTGTCTTTTTATTTTCTTGATTAGCACTTTTTGTGTGATGAAATGTACAAATTATAATAGGACCAGTCATACCTTTAGACAGTTTTTTGTTTTGTTTTAATGCTTGATTCAGTGATTTACATGAAGTAATTCCCAGAACCATGTGGTACACCATATTTAAAGTATTAAAGGTTTTGATAATTTGATTCGATATCACTGACAATGATCTCGTCTCAAATTGATTTTGTATTTGACATTACTGAGGGTAGAGGCTTTCAACCAGTCCTGGAAGCTTATTGACCAAGGATAAACACTTCTGCTACTAATTTTTTAGGATGTAGAAGAGACTATTCCCACTGCTAAAGATGGCATTACTCTGTTGTTGTTTTTTGTAGTCTTTTATAAAGCAGTTCGGCGAGCTTCCTGAGTTGATCACTAAGCTACTTGTTTCCTGAATAGTTTCAGTGCTGTACCAAATTTTTAAATCTTCTAATTCTAGGGCTTAAGACATTACATGGTAATGAGTTGTTTGTTTTTAAATAACAAAGATGTTTCCATTATCCTGGCTAAAGCTACAGGGCATTGTAATTGGTCACTCATTTTGGTTACAATTATTTTAAAAAGTAGCAGTAGCCACATAGTTTTGAAGCTGTTCTCATTTTGTAGGTTTAATAGAAAGGGAGTGTTTTGTACTTCTTACATAATCTAATCAGCCATCTTAGTACAGTGTGCATTAATGAGTAGCCACTGAAATACTCTGCTTGTACTGTGGTAAGTTGTGTGGAATGATAACTTATAAGCTAAAACGGTGAAAAGCCTTTTGCTGTTTCCATGTTTATTTATTAGACTGATTGGTTATGGTGGAGCCAGAGTGGACGCGCCTCGCTGTATTTTTCAGCGCATATTTTTGATGATCTGTTAACGCGATGCTCCCAAGATGCGTGGTGCGAACGGAGTGGGTTGTTATCATGGTTGCATAAACAGCGACGAGCCCAGCGTCGATATTGGGTGAATAGAATAAATCAAAGGTGAAATGTATAGAGTAGATCTACCTTCACTTAGTGGACGAAATACAAACAGATGAGAAAAGATGCATCAGAATGAAATCATCAACATTTATGAAGTTTTTGTTGCTGTAGTTTTCATCCCTCTTGTCTTTTAGGATTTTTCTTTTTCAACCACATAAATGAATGCTTCTGTGTCCCGTTTTGCTTGACGTAATTAAAATGAGCTTACAAACTACACACACCAGACCTAGATCTAGAAACAATTTGACGACCGAGGCCCGCGTTTTAAAAATTCGTCCTCATCACAAACACTTCGCTTCTGCGACGTCCCCACTCTAGCAGGCCCCACACTCCATCTCTAATTATAATCTGTCGTCATCAAAAAGATGCATCAAGAATGCTTACTCGTCCCTTCAGCAAGGTGTTGGAGCCCACTCTGTCTATACACTTATACAACTCCCTTTGGTTCTTTGCCCTGGGCTGTTTGATCAATTTTGAATTATGTGCTGGATGTGATGGTTTAATGCCTTGTCTTGTTTGTTTTTCTCATATGATGTGCAGTTGATACTTTCACAGTGGATTGTGCCCCCATCCTGATTTATATTGATTGGTTTTAATGTAGAAATTCGCAGAACATGGGATGTGTAAATCAAATTTTTCATGCTTGGTCATCTCATGTTTCAGTTCAACCTTGTTCCAAGGGTCCGGATACACAATGAGAAAACATGTTTGTCTTAAGGGTATTTTTTTGTCATTTAATAGGCCTCATTATTTAACGTTCATGCTTATGTTTAGTTTATTAATATTATTACGAGAAGTTATGACTTGTAATTCTTGTCTTTCTTAAATAAAAAAAGGACCCGTGAACTGATGTCTGTAGTGTAGCAGGTAGGCACTTCGCTGTGGCACGCAGGAGACCTGAGTTCAATTCCCGAGTGAGAAGAATTTTTATAGAGTATCTTGGGCTTCTGCTGGGATGTTGTATCCCTCTCAGCCCTGATTGGCCTTGACAGACAGGGTTGGAAGCCCTCTTTCTAAATGATCTAATTCATGTCGATGGGGGGTGTAAAACACCTACAACAAAGATTAAAAGCACCCTTAAGGACTTGAGTTGACATAGAGTCATTTTGCTTTGAAAAGCTTATAGTTTTAATTTAACATTGGTCAATAAGTTACGGTGTGGATTCTGCATTGATCTTTCTGTGCCATATGTCTATGATGAGACTAAAACATAGGTTCGTGTAAATTTACTTGTTTGCAAAACTTTGGTCAAGGTGAATTCGTTATGGTATATATGGTGGGACAAACATACTTTTAAACTTACAGAATTGATTCTTTAAATCTTATCAGCCTGTATTATTTGGATGGATTTTCCCGAACAGCCAGGATTAAGTCTGTATCTTCTTTCCAAATTTGCATAAGTTTTTGTATCACTGACAATTTTTTATGTAGATTTATCATTTTGTTCACCATGACTAAAAATTGAACATCGGCAACATTGAGGAAGTAAATAGTGGAATTGAATGCAGAAAAAGTAGGTGTATTCTATTGATGGATTTGACTAATTAACAATCTTTATTTGGAAAGTGACTTAAGGGAGTTCTTGTGGTCTAGAGCTATGGTGTCTGCCCCTCTTCCAATAGATCCCTGGTTCGAAGCCTGATAGCGGTGGAAAATTTTTCTTCTCTAAAATTTTCTCCTTTCTCCTCCTTCCCTGCTCTCTAATCATGTTGTCATTTGCCTCCCTCTCTAATTTCACTGCACCCCCTCTGGGCTCCTGACTATTTCTACTGCTACTCATGTCTCCTTACTGCTATCTTTCAGTCACACCCGTGATCTTAGGAAAGGTAAGATCAACAAACACCTAGCCTTCCCGGATAAGGGCGAAAAAAATCTCGGATGTCCCATGTTCAAGTTGCACTCTTTAAAGATCCCTTGGTGGTCGTAAAATCACTTCTGCTGCCACCCGAGCAAAATTCAAAATTATTCCTACCAAATTGAAAATGCTAAATATGTACCATGCGCCCATATGTGACTGTATGCAGTTGTGAGCGCCGTAAAGCATGGTAGCAAAACAAAAACAAATGGAAGTGACTTGATTCTAGATCCAAAATTATCTGTGATACTAAGCGCTTTCACTTAGAAAAATTGCTTTGAATTCTCACAAAGAAAGGAAGTATAAATAGTATAATCATGTCTTTTTTTAACTTGACCAATATTATAACAAAAATTTTGGGGACTTTAAATGGAAATGTGTATTTGATTAACGGGGAATGAAAATGTTACACTTTTTGTTGCTCTGGCGGAAGGAGTGGTAGACAGAAATGACATGGAGCATGTCGCGTGTCATTCTGGCAGATAGGGGTTCAATATCAAATATTTATTAACTCAATGAACATGATTACTGGTGCCTGGGGCACCTGTGTGTTTTTGTGACATTGAGATAAATCACATTAAAAACAAATTTGCTGTCGTTCATTGTTACAGTAGCATGAATTTATTGTAATGAGAAAACTTCTTTGGTGTCTCTTAGTGCAAAAGGGAATATATTTTTTTCTGATTCTCGCTCGCTTTGAAATTGTAACAAATTTTATTTCTGGAAAAAATCGCTGGCTTGTTCTAGCTGATGCTTGTTAAAATGGCATGATTCTCAGGCACATTGCTGGTGTGAGTGGTGTTGACATTAATGAATAAATCTTCTCTTGTACGTCAAATTGTTAGCCCTTGCTTTGTTTTCTGCTCGTGTAATATTCTGAAGTTGACTTGGAAAGCTGTGTCTTTATTATATAGGTCTTTCAAGTGTTCTTGGTGCTGATAGTGGAGGCAGTAGGTAGTTTTTCCCTCCCCATTTAGCATCATGTCTATCAAACGTGATATATTTTATTGAGGGTGTGTTGATTTGCTGCATGCGGAGGAAGACATTCAAGGTTCCACATACTTATCTTTACCTTGTTTGTTTTGATATGCTGGCATGGTCAGCAGTGTACCCTGAAGTTTTCCAGAGTGGATAGTTATTAGTGCTTTTTTTACACAAAAATGGTTGAAACTCCTCAGATTCTGATTTTAAAAAGAATTTTCTGTTTGGCTGGATGACGCCCCCCGACCCATTCCATCTTTCCAGTGTAGTGTAAAACAATGAGACCTGTCACTACGTCACAAGCATGCCCTTAGAACATTAGTTGGCCCCAAGTCAGGAGTAAGGCAAACATTGTTTAGACAAGGTGTTAAAATATTCCTGTACTTTGCGTTGTGGTTGAAGTAAGGCTAGGGCCCCTGCCACAGAGTCAATAGAAAAAATCAAACCAGGGTCATTGTTCGAGACAAATTAGCTGAGGTGTGTGGCATGTAGGGAAGTGATGCATCATCAGAATCGGAGGCTTGTGATGCATCAGTTTTGTTTTTGCAAATCTGTCAGTAAGGTTTCACCTGCTGTGTGGGTACGTGCAGACCTGCAGTAACAGTTTGAGGGCAGTGTTTCTGTCAGCGCAGTAGTATGCTCTGTTGCTTCTTTCTATTATTAAACTACTACTTTTCTGTGTTATTGGTGTCCTAAACTATTTCTGTTATTGAGTAGATGGGCTGTAACTCAACTGTAATCTACAACACTACAATGTATTAGACTCCGTTACATCCTTTCTGCATGTGTCGACAGAAGCTGTTGAGGAAGTCGTAGACAGGATCCTTAAGAGACTCTCCATCTTGGGTTGGTATTGTAAGTCTGGCCTAATCCCGAAGTGAAATTATGCTTGGCTAATTGCTTGTTGTTAGTTATGGAGAAATGTCACTCGCCACGCTTTTTAATCCCTTTCTTCCACTTTTCAATTCCTTTTTCATACCAGATTGTCTTGCATCTTTTTTTTTCCTTTTTTTTTTGGGGGGGGGGGGGGGGTGTCTTGTACTGGTTTTCCCATCTACCCTGGTTGGTGAATTACTTTTATAGACTCGTACTTGTAGAGTTTTTTTTCCCGAGGGAGATGAGAATTCATTCGAATCCAGTCAGTTTGGTTTTAAATGTTTATTTTTAGTTCCTGCTTTCTTGGGATGTGATGTACACGTTCTGTATAGCTAGAGGCAAGAATGGTTAAATAAAAAAAAAATCTCACAAGTTCTGTGGGGGCTGGAACACAGCTGAATAGCCCTGTGGTTGACTTTGTGCCCAGTTATAGAAATGATTGAAATTAGGATGTGTTCATATCTCTATATATAAATCTAAGGTTCAAGGTAGGCAATCTATGATCACAACATTTTTGGTGTGCTCAGTTTATTGTTAGTTGTGAAAATGAAACAGAGTGGAATATCTGCTTTTAGTTTTAGTTTTCTCTTTTATTTTAGAATGGTATGAGAAAATATAAAACTTATGTTATAACTAATGATTTGTTGGTTAGAGAAGTAACAGAAGGAGCCTGCTTGAAGAAAATTACTTTGCAATTGAGAGACTGCTGTGTGCTAGTTTGTCTCGGTGACTTTTTACTTGAAGTGGCCTTTTATTTTCAGCTGGTAAACTGGTTTGTCTCATTGACACTGAAAGTGTTTGTTTAAAAAAAAATCGGAAACAGTACTTTCAGCTGGCTGAAAATAGCTCTTGTTGCTTGAATGAATGAGGCTTAGATGGCCTATCAAGATTTGAAGTCATTTATGACTTCCTTTATTTATTATAATAAAATTTCAAATTTGAATGTCATTGTGTTGTGTGCATTTCTTATTTAAGACAGACCTATGCAAACTTGTTAGTACATGTAATGGCTAGATTGATATACAGTATAACATGGACAACTTGAATGCATCGGGACTGGCCTTGGTAGTTTGAGGGATATCTTACAAAGATAAAGAAGAAAGAAAAAAGGTACTGCAGGCACAGTTCGACATGCATGATTTCGAGTCTTTTGTGTTTGACCTATCTGTGTTACACTGTGTATGTTGCTTTCCAACCAATGTGGGTCCTGAAGCAATGCAGTGTGTTTGCATGCATTTTGTGTCAACTGTTATTTGCACTCTCCATGAATTACAATGTACATGTCATTGTTATAACTAAATTAAATTCCATTTGAGACTACCATTACTGCCATAGTGATTCATTATTTAAAAAAAAATTTTTTTTGCTCTCTTGGTTTGAAGTCTTTCTCAGCTTTTTACAGTCAGTGACTGTTTTGTTTGTTCCTTATGACTACGTGTAGTAAACTGAATAATCTGTCTCAGGTCTGTGGTTAGCCAGAGGATGCCACTGCTAAATTTTCATGATGTGTTGCCTTTTCCAAGCACCGACTTTTTGACTCTATCCGTACGTCGTGTTTCACTATCGTATACATACGACGTGGCGAATTCTGTGCCACCACTTTCCAAAGAGGAAATTTACTCGTTAATCCGATTTGTACGCTTTGCATAGAAGTCTGTCAAAAATGATTTTTTGAGAAACACTGAACGTTTCAAAGAGATCTTCGTAATAGAAGTATTCTAAAATGTGAAGAATACAACCCCGGGGGTACAAAATGACACCAGGACGTACGGATACGGTTAAAAATAAAAATGTACCTGTAAGTGTAAGTGATTGTATGACCCATCAACATCATTTTGATAATTGGAGAGGTGGGCTTCCACCCTTCCTGTCAGGGCCAGCCAGGGCTGAGAGTGATACAACATCCCTGAGGAAAGACGGAGTTACTCAATAAAAATCCTCTCCCCTTGAGAATCGAACTTGGTTCTTCTGCGTGTGACTTTGAAGCATCTAACTACTACTAGTCTACACCACAGATGACTGTATTGATTCTTTCTTCTGCTGTCTGTAAAGGTTGACTAAGTTATTCTATCTAGAGTGCAAATGGTAATTAAATATATAATATATATATGTTAATGTATTACTATTATTACGG